CTACACCAACTAATTTACGCCTTTTTTTTTCCCTCCACTGCAGTTTTGAAGTTGAAGGCTTCTCGAGTTCCCAACTTCACTTCCCAATCCAGGAGTACTTTTGTGATTCTAACCTCTTTTATCATACTTGATTTTTGGGTCCAAAACAAGCTCTTTCCCTATTCTCTACAGCTTTACACTGAGGCGTTGCAGACCCTTGAGTCGGGTAATAATCTGTGCAAAAGAAGGCCGTACCTGTGGGTTTCTGCACAATATTATGCCTCAATGTTAATCAAATTCACTTTGGGGCCGTAAAATCACATAATTACCCTTCAATACCTCAACAAGAGCATTTTTTGTTAAAATAAAAACAAATGCCAATGACCTATCTGTAAATTTAAAGATCACGTTTTTTTTTTTTTAATTTTTTTATGATTTTTCAATTAGACTACATATAATAGGGTAAATTTCATAGTTAACTCTATATAATGAACGGCTCGTTCATTCAGACAGGAATGAATTACTGAAAAAAAAAAATAGAAGAATCATAAACATGCTCAATAGAAGGTTTCGGTTAGGAAACTCACCTACAGCAACAATCGTTTATTATGTCCACTACAAGGGGATCAACTGTGTGTGGGATATCCAGGTGTCGACCCTGGAATCCTACAGCTCCAACAACCTGCATCGAGTTCATCCCTGTCCATGGTACTAGCAGAGTTGCCAGCTCCCATAGTATGACACCGAAACTATATACATCAGATCTGTGCAAATTCAAGAAATCCATCTTATTAGTTATCCATGAGATGCCAAGCATAACACTAGTAAGGAGTGAACCATTCTTTAAAGTACTCAAGAGTACAGAAGGACTCCTATAAAGTATAAACTCACTTCTCATTAGATGGTTCGTTCCTCAGGACCTCTGGGGCCATCCACTCGGCCTGCACATTTACAGGAAAAAAAGCCAGTAAATAAATTAGAAAAAAAAATAAATCTTCTTCAATGGAAGGTGCTAATACATGGTAAGAAAACAGGCATTACCGTCCCAGCAGCTGACTTTGAAGATAGAAAGGTATGGTGCTGAAGACGCGACATTCCAAAATCACAAACCTACAATATTTTTTGCAGGCAGAAAAATATTATTCGGAGATGAGAAATCCATCATTAAATGAATGAGGTGGTCGAAGGAAAACTTGGACAGACCTTAACCACCCAATTTTTATCAACAAGGAGATTTGGAGTCTTCAGATCTCGGTGCACAATGATTGGATGGCTTGTATGCAAATAGTTCATTCCCTTTGCCTAGCAGAATTTGACATGTTAGGCAGGTTGCAAATGAACCTAACTGAAGAAAAAAATGGGGATTCATTATTAATCAAACCAATACCACATCGATCGCCATTTTTATACGCCTTTTCTCGTCTATTTGGATATTTGGACGGTGTAGCAGCTTATATAAACTACCCCTGCAAGTGTCGCAGGTATTAGAAGCACCAAAGTAAGAAATAAAGATATCTATTATGATTAATCACCAGTCCAATGATAAACTGGTGCTCCCACTTCATTTTCTCCCTTAAAGAAAAAGATAATGGTGGTGCGTTCACATATTGCATAGATATGTAAAACACATAAAGCACGCATGTTAATATACACATGCTCATAATGCGGCAGGAAGATTGGGTAGGAGAGTGGCTATCTCCTATATAAGTCAGATATGCAGAGAGCAAGATGAGATGAATTATAAGGTGCATCATAAGCTAAGAGACTAACAATAATGCTCAGTAAAAAGTTTGTTTTGCCTAAAGATTCATTATATGATGTAAATATTCTAAGAGAGCTAAACCCATCAGAACTACGTTGACTCCATGAGTTTGCACAGGCTAAAGAGTACTGACCTTGGAAGAAATTCTGTCAATATAGACAAATTTGGGGGCCGCGTCACAGCTCCCATGAAAAGAACAACATTAGGATGTCTCAACCTCATCATGATCTCAACCTGCATCAGGAAACAGTATAGAAGAGTCAAAACCACAGAAAAAACCTTCTCAGAAGATATATCACATTTGGCATAAAGAAGTTCCAAAATCACATTTACCTCACATTTAAATTGTGCAAGTGCATCACCTGAGATATCTTGGTTCATAAACTTCTTCACTGCAACTTCCTGTCATGCAATGACATAAAAACATAAAAATAAGGAATAGTAAATCATTATGGCCCATGGTAAACATAAAACAGACAGGGAGGCGTCATCTATAGAGCATTAAAAAACCAAGGACAAAAGCAATACAAACACTGCACAAAACTGCAAAGAATATATATGTTGCTAAAACTACAACCTACCGTTCCATTCCATTCCGATCGGTAGACCTCACCATATGACCCTGCAAAATTGACAAAGCATTTATTAAGTATTCAATACAAGAAACTGCATCACAGCAACTATCGTACTCTCTCAAGAGAAGGCTACTTATTACATATCCAAATTTACGAGGCTCTTGCATGCGTAAATAAGTTTTAATTGATAGCTCGATCATAACACACAGACACTAATCAAGGAGTAATAAAACAGATGCGCAATAACAAATCTATTGCAAGAACTCTTACCTATACCAATGCGTTCACCAATTTGAAGATCCTCCCATAATATCTCGGCAACTCCATTTAGCACAGGATCAATTTGCACGTCGTGGATCATGTTAACATTTGAGTGATCATTGCCAGACATTAACATAGCTTCTGCATTTCCAGAAAAATCAGCAAGTTCTCTACCAATCACAGTATCATAATCGATCATAATCCCCTCATTTCTATCACGCACAAGCACATTTTGTTCCCCTGGAATATTGAGAGCCATGTTATTTCCTTCTGAGTCCTGTTTAAACAGTTGTGTACCCAATCCTACAGCTGACTGCTCTCTGCTACTGTTACAGGACAGGTTAAACAACTGCAACCCAGTATCAGGTACAAGAGGGTGCTCATTTGTAGTCAAATTTATCTCTGCATGGCACTGGTCAACCAATCTGCCTCTCCTCATTTGACCATTTCTTTCCAGCATTTTGTCTTCCCTAATATCATCGTTATTCATGTTTAAAGAAAAATTATTGGGTGTGAGAGCACACTCCTCCGTACATAAGGTAGGAACTTCCCCATGGAATTCTGCTTCCCTGGCGGCACTAGAAGCATAATAGGAAGCATCTTCAGGACATGAGTCCAGTCCGTTTAATCTATAGTTCCTAGCATATGATGAATCTTCATATAGAGTTGGTGGAACATAGAGATCACGATGATCATGTTCGAACTGCTTGGTCTGCATTTTTCGTGATATTTTCCCGCCTTTGATATTTGATTTCATGGCAATGGCAGATGATTCTGAACTTGAACTAGCAACTTTCTGAGTTTCATCCACACTTGGTTTAAAGAAACTAATCTTAATCCCTTCATTAGATTCTCCAGTACCCAACATGCTGTCAGTACCAGCAAAAGTGGAAATACTCCTTGCCTCTAACCCAAAATTTAGTGGATGACCACTAGGTACCTCAGCAGGAATGAGTGTGCCCGGCGATCCCATCAGATCAATTATGTATTCACTGCATTAATTGAAAAATTGTCACTACATCTTAGCAAACAATTATTAACAAAAACTTACGGTTCTAAGCACACAGAGGTCACACTGAAAACATGAAAGAGCTGCAAGACTTTACTTTTTAACTGGTATTTCATAGGATAACACATTTAGGGAACAAAATGCACTTCTCTTATAAAAAGATAACATGATTTCCCCAAAATCTCACTTTTGTATGCATCATACTTTTACCTCAACTAAACACAGTAGATTGAGCAAATAGCATATCATCAACAATCCTGTGAACAGAATGTTACTGTTACC